GCCGTGGTTCCAAGGGGACAGGTAGGTAGAATTCCACTTTGAGAGTCATCAAAGTGGTGAGGGCTGGGAACAAAATTGGGATTTTGCTGCCAATCCCAGATACGGTTTGCTGGTGGATACTGGACATCATAGGCTGGTTGTACGGGTGGTTGTTTGGCGGGCTTGTGGGTGACGCTCCGCTTTGTCCTTGAACTGACGAGTCAGCAGCGTGGGTCCCCGCGTGGCACAGTGAGTCACGCATGGCGGTGCCACTACCACCACCAGCCCCACTAACACCATCCACTGATGCCTGTGGCCCATCCATGCCAAGTGTAGCCACATCATCCTCACTATCACTACCTAAAACGGGTGTAGGGCCACGGGATGTACTCCGGGATGTACTCCGTCCCCTGGGCACAGCATAGGGTACACTACCCGAGCGCATGTGGCGGCGAACATACCGACGCTTCACTGGTGAATATGTTTCCTCACTATCACTACTCGAATGATCGTCTAGCGCAATAAAATCACAATCCACGTCAGAATCATCGTCATTACTGAAGTCAGAGGCCAGGCCACGGGAAAATATTAGTTTTCTCTTACGTTTAGGAACACCCGACCGTGAGTCACGAGTGCCCACACGACAGAGGTAGAAGGTCGAGGATCGTCGGGGTTTTCTGCACTATTATCGATATCCTGGTCATTATTTTCGGTCACTAACTTATCAAAGCCGTAGAATTCGTCTTCATTTCCACTTCCATCAGTGTCAGAACTATCAGACAGGAAGAGGAGAGTCCCAATTTTCCAGGGAGTGAGAGCTGACTTGCGACGAGGCATGGTGAACAAGGGTGACTGAGCCGGCGTTCCCACAATGCTATGCAGGCGCCTAGATTTTTTGTTTACGGCGCACACCCACGGCGCAGACCCATTCTCTCACATGTAGGCCTATGAGCACTTTCGCGCTAAATTTGACGGCGCTAGAATTTTGGCGTAGATCTACGGTTTGGACACCCACCGAAAAGCCGTAGATCTACGGGACGGACCCTGAAAGGGTTAAAGTGCAGGCATTGTACTTCCCCTTTCCAGGACTCAAGTCTGGCTAACCAGTTTCCCTGAATCCCTTCACAAAATATTACCCTGCTCATACTCCAACAGCTCATCAGGTCCCACACACGCTTGCTGGAAGTCCAAGCCCCTCGTCCACAAAACCTCCTTAGCCCCCTCCAACCTTTTCGAGGATGACCCCTACCCCGCCTTCCTTCCCCTACAGATTTATACGCTCTCCAAGTCATTCTACTTTGATCTATTCTCTCAAAATGACCAAACCACCTCAACAACCCCTCTTGTTCACAGATTTTAATCATTTCTTAAGCTGCCAAGATACACCAAGAATGTAAACACTCATACAAACTCACCAGCTAACCCCTTTACTGTGAACTTCTTTTGTACTTCTTCCATTTTTCCTTTTGTTTTTCCTCTTCCAAATGCTGCTGCACTTCTAACTCTGTCTTCTATTATGGGATGCACAATAAAGTACAAATTTATCGACATTGCTTGATGCTGAGATGTATCACTTACCCCTTTACAATGAACTTCTTTTTGTACTTCTTCCATTTTCCTCTTCCAAGAGGAAAAAACAGTTAATTTGTACAAATATGTAGTCTTGGAGACTGTGAAAGCTAGTGTACTGAGTGGCTATAGGAAGAAGATTGAGATGCTTGACACCAAGATGCTGCGCTGCCCGTTCATTACCCAAGTTCTCATACAGCATACAAAAATGACTCGTCAGAGAGCCCATCGTAACTCTGAGCTGTCAGTAAACATGTACGTCGGTAAGTGAGGAGAGGCTGTATTACGTAGTATGGTAGTATTATTGTATATTTGTTAATTGTTATTAAGGATGCTTCAGGGTTTGGTACTTCCCATGTACAGTTTTCCACTGCCAGTGTGCATATGTATTAGTGCATAATCTTTAAATAAATAAGAGGCTGCTAATAAGTGGCAATTGGTAATTGTAATTTGCTGTCAAAAAAATAAATTTTCATAAGAGAAATGTTGAACTAATATTGACCATTTTAGAATTATAATAGGTTTCAGTAAATTAAGGGGTGAACCAACATGATTACATATATGCATAGGTTGAATACAAGAAACTGAAAAACAAGTAGAAAAGATTGGAAAGAGGTAGAAAAATTTTAGAAAAAGGACTTTGTCCTGGAGGTGGAAAGTCCAGTGCCTGCACTCTGAAGGAAGGGTGTTGATAAGTTGCAGTTTTATAACTGTAGTGTAGGTGCAACACTGAGAAGACAGTGATAGAGTGAATGATGATGAAAGTGTTTCTTTTTTTTGGGTTGCCTTGCCTTGGTGGGAAACAGCCGAGGTGTTAATAAAGGAAAAAGAAAGAAAGGTACAAGTATTGCATCATTTAGAGGTAGGCTAAATAATCTGTATTGGTTATTTTTATGGTATCAGTATACAGGAGGGCCCTGCTTATACAGCCAGTTAGGTTCCAGGCTACTGCTGTAAAGTGAATCATTGCCTTTTCCACTTTCAAATGCATATAAAAGCATGATAATATGTTTATACTATCATATATTTAGTAAGCAATAGGGCTAGGCCTAAAAAAATGCATATACAGTACACACATGACTTACCTTAAAATATTTTGGTTCTTAGCTTAGAGTGAGTGGTGAATATATTGTACGTCTGAATAGTGAAGAAAATGCTGTATTAATGATGGAGTATAGATGGTGTTATAAAAACGAGTGAACACTAGGGTATTGGGGAAGGTTGTGGGAGTGAAAGATGGTGAATCTGGTATGAAGGAGTTGTCACAGTTGCTTCTTTGCTTATGAGACGGTTGTTTTGGTAGATTTTGAAGAGAAGTTGGAAAGGTTAGTAAATGAATTTGAGAGAGTATATGAAAGAAGGAAATTAAGAGTGACTACAGGAAAGAGCAAGGTGATTAGTTTCTAAAAATGAGAAACTGGATATCACACTGGATGGAGGAGTATTATAATTAATGAAGTGCTAGACTTACAAGGGTCAAACGGGGCAGGGAAGAATACGGGTATTGGGTAGCAAGAGGGAGAGGTATTGTTATTAGGGTCATACAGTGCAGCAGGGCAGGTGTATAGGGTAGCAGAGGGAGAGGTAGAAAAGGCTGTGAGGAGTGCTAGAGATAGCATCATCAAAGTTTGTGCAGTAAATCAATTGTTGTCGAAAAGTCTGAGTTAAAGGTGGGTCCATCAGCAAGGAGGGGAAGATAAATAAAGGATTAGAGTGGTGATGATGTTGGAGGTAAATTCTGCGTTGCTCGTGATGTGGACAGTCCAACAGAATATGGCTAACAGAAAGTGGAATCCTGACAAGTCTCACAGATTGGAACAGTGCACCTCTCAACGAGATACCGTGAGTAAGACGGAGTGTGTCCGACACGAAGACAGGAGAGTGTGTCTCCCAACCACAGCATCGATGGCAAGAAGACAGCCAGAAACCTATACTTTGTTTAGTAGAAATGTAATTTATTATGTAGCAGATCAGACCAATGTTGTTGCCAATGGTTGCAAAGGTGGGTAGTAATTACAGCAAAATAATCTGTGAATGGAACACTCTCTATATGAAACTGGGAGGTCATGTACGGAGTATGGAGGAGATGAATTTGCCCGAAATTTTGGAGTGACTTGGTGGTAGATGGTTCTGAAAGGGAAGGTGAACCATAGAATTGGTTGAAAGGTAAAGGTGGGTGGTGTGTCGAAGTATCTGTGAAGACAAAGAACTTTATCTATGGAGGCAAAAAGGATATTGTGCAAGAATATAGTGGTACCAATACTGTTGTATGGATGTGAAGCATGGATTTTAATGTTACGCCAAGGAGGTGGCCAATGCTAACAAAAAATGTGCTCTTTACCAACTTCCCAATGAGTTGGTGTCATACCATTTCAACCATTCACATCAAATAGGTATCATATGGAATTTTATTATTATAATAAAAAACCAAGCATTAAACCCACTAGGGTCTGTATGGAATTGAAAAACATTGGAAATTAGAGAGAGAGATAAGTAACTGCTCCTAAGTGCCCAGAATGGACTGCTTGAGTATCTATGTAATTATTATTATCATTATTATAATCAAAAGGAAATGCTAAACCCACTAGGGTTATACAGCACTGATATCTGTGTAATAATAATGTAATTATATTCACTGGAAAACACTAAAACTCATAGGGGCCATGTAGTGTCGTATCTACAAATAAATAAATTGTAAGGAATAAATCTCCATGCAGGTTTAGAAGAGCTGTGGCATGTGCATTTACTCGAGACAGGATTATCAGGCTGTCCTGACAGTCCAGCCTCTCCTATCATTAAAGTACACACCAACTTCATTTCAGGTGCCTTGACATGCTTGCTTTCTCAGCCCAGTCTCTGGCAGTGCTACCTTCACTAAGAAGTCTTCAGTGTCTTAACTGATTCTGACTTGCTTCAGTAACTGTAACTCCCATCCTCGTAGTAGATGTCCTTTCCTAAATGCTCCATTCTCCATCCATCACTTTCATCAGTGCCATACAGTACTGTGTGTCCCTTATGGGTTTATCACTTTCCACAAATATAATACAGTACAGTAAATACATGTTTCAAATAGTATGAGCCATGTTGAGTTACTTTATCATATAGTACAAATGGAAGAACTAAAAAATAACAGCCAGTGCAGCAGGTGAGTCTTGCAAAGTAGATCGCTGAGTTTGCTTTTCTGGCAAGACAGTGATTGAATGAGTGATGGTGAAAGTTTTCTTCTTTGTCAGGTCACCATACCTTGGTGGGAGACTGTCGGAGTGTTAATTTTTTAATAATTTACAAAAGAGTTACCTTGATTTTTATCAAATTAGAATATACATATTAAGGAAAAATTAAAACAGATCAGTTGGCAAATTATATATATATATATATATATATATATATATATATATATATATATATATATATATATATATATATATATACATATAATTTTTTATACAAGTCAATTTTCTCCTACTGCTTTTTTTAAGGCACTCACCTCTTCTGACATGCTACCCATACAACATTATCATTTCCGCTACCCTTTTTGGGCCCCCCGTTGTCCACTCAAACTTAAACTCTCTGTAAAAAGAGACATTGTATAATGTATATTATGCATTTAAACAAAATATGCTGGTAATTTTCAATCTGAGTAATATGGAGTCAAGAGGAAAAATTTAAATGTGATAATGTGACAAGTTTTATAATGGGGTGGACCCTTGTTGGTTTAGTGCTTTTCTTTTATAATAATAAAAATAATAATAATAATAATAATATAATGAGGTGGTGCAAAAATAATTTTTCCTTACTCCAAGTGAAGATCAATTGGGAAAAAATATACAGTAATTCAAGTGCAACAGACCAGTCAATTATAATCATTCCAGAAAACCTTATGGGGTTGAATTATTACATTCATGGGAGAACTGAGGTTACATCTAAGTTAAGAGGAAAGCAGCTCTGGTTCTTTGGATCAAGAGCCCCATCACTGATATCAAGGAAATGCCCTTGAGAGGGGTGATGGGTGAATATTGATTGTAATAATTTTTTTGCTCCATATGAAAAGATAATGGGATTCTTAGGCTGAAAACTTTCAGGCAGAGGTGCAAATGAGAAATCTGTATTATCACCAAGTAAGATTTTAGACTTACTGTAACTATGAATCACATGAACTTTAGCAAGGCTCTGCCAGTTGACCAACCCACACCTCTATATACCATATCCATGTGCTGTATCACTCTTATGGCTTCAGAGATTCCCCATAATTATAATAAATCTTACCACAGGAATGAGGGAAAAAAAAAAAAAAGCAGCAGCAGCAGTGCAATTACAGCCAGGTGTGTGAGGATTTGCCCCCATTTCAACAAACGTGGTGGTGGAGGCAAAAGCAAAACCATACATATGGCCACTACTGTGCTACTTAAGGGTTGCCAGTTTGGCATCTCACTTTATCTGCACCACAGTAGCACATCAGTATCGCAATGAGGATGTCTTAATAGATCTCTCATAATAGCTTCTACTGGTGTTCCAAGTCTTTACATAGTATTTAGCCATGATGAGATTTAGGGTAGAGAAGTCCATATGCCTTCATCTGTCATTCCACTATGAAATCGCATTTTGTATTATCACAACTGATGAATTTTGCAAAAATACACATTGACAAATAGTATGTACATATGCTATCAGCAAAAACTGACATCTGGAGGGTTTTGATGCTTTAACCCGTAAACGGTCCAAATGTATATATGCGTTTTTTCAACATTTGATAGTATGTAAAAAAAGTAGATCTTTTTTTTTTTTACATTTGAAAACGTGTAAAAAAAACTTTGATCTACGTTTTTTTTTTTTTGTTATACATATTTGAAAATATTATAAGAAAAAGTAGATCTACTTTTGGAGCACTACGCATGTGAACATAGATCTGCTTGGACCGTTTACGGGTTAAAATGATTTGCAATGTGAGGAATTCAAGCAACCCTCCTTTTACTCAAACCAAATCTAGTTAATTCCCATTCTTCAGGTGTTCTATGACCCTTTTAAGTTTAGTTCTTCCCAAGAATAAAAAAAACTGGGGAATGGATTTAACCCTTTGACTGTTTCCGACGTATAAATACGTCTTACGAGCCAATGTTTCTGACGTATTTATACGCATAAATTCTAGCAGCTTCAAATCAAGCAGGAGAAAGCTGCTAGGCCCACATGTGAGAGAATGGGTCTCCATGGTCAGTGTGCACCATATAAAAAAAATCGGGGAGCCAGTGGTGCATTGTGGGAATGCCATTTCAGTTGTCATTTTTCAGCATGTCTAGTGGTAAGAAATATGTGATTCCCCAGCAAATCTGGGACTCTTCTCTTCCCAAGTGATGCTCTAACACAGATGGAAGTGTCAGTGAAGATAAATTTCATGATTTGGAGGAGTTTGAGACCAAAAGCAATGGAGGAGGAGGAGGGGAGGAAGAGGAGGAGGAGGAGGAGGAGGAGGGAAGGAAGAGGAGGAGGAGGAGGAGGAGGAGGAGGAGGAGGAGGAGGAGGAGGAGGAGGAGGAGGAGGAGGAGGAGGAGGAGAAGAGGAGGAGGAGGAGGAAGAAGAAGATGTAATAATATTGTTCCCTTTGAAGCAAGAAAAAAAAAAGTCCACCCCATGACAGTGACAAGATAAGGGGAGATAACATCTGATAAGAGCTGACTTTGATGAGCGTAAAGGAGGGTAATATTACATGACCATCGCCTCCCTTTGTTTTTGCTGGTACACAAACATTTCTGTCTGTCTATTTGTCTGTCTGTCAAGCTCCCTGTCTGTCCATCTAGCTCTCTGTCTCAGAGAGAGCCACAAGACTGTGTCATCACGTTTTACTCACATCTTCAAGCAGAGTATAGCACTTTGACTGGATTTCTTGGGTTATCCTAGGTAATTTACACATGTATACTTGTATTTATGTGTACCTGTGAGACAGAGATAGGCAGACAGAAAGAGAGACAGATTGAAAGATATAGAATGAGGGAGAAAGATAATTAGATAGAATGGAGGAGGGGAAGCAGCATCCGACCCCATTGTTTTGACAGGGGTAGGGGTAGTGACTAATGAGACAATATGTCACTTTGACAGCTGCCGACTTCTGACTCAAAACAATTATAAGCCACACACTCGCACACAAGGAGGAGGAGGAGAAGGAGGAGGAGGAGGAGGAAGGAGGAGAAGGAGGACAAGGAGGAGAAGGAGGAGGAGAAAGGAGGAGAAGGAGGAGGAGAAGGAGGAGGAGAAGGAGGAGGAAGAGGAGGAGAAGAAAGGGGAGAAGAAGGAGGAGAAGAAGGAGGAGAAGAAGGAGGAGAAGAAGGAGAGAAAAAGGAGGAGAAGAAAGGGGGAGAAGAAGGAGGAGAAGAAGGAGAGAAAAAGGAGAGAAGAGAAGAAGAAGGAGAAGAAGAAGGAGAAGAAGAAGGAGAAGAAGAAGGAAAGAAGAAGAAGAAGGGGAAGAAGAAGGAGAAGAAGAAGGAGAAGAAGAAGGAGAAGAAGAAGGAGAAGAAGAAGGAGAAGAAGAAGGAAGAAGAAGAAGGAAAAAAGAAGAAAGAAAGGAGAGAAGAAAGAAGAAGAAGAAGAAGAAGAAGAAAGAAGAAGAAAAGAAGAAGAATTGTTTGTTTGTTTGTTTGTTTGTTTTTGTAAACAAGTTTTGTAAACAATATATTGATAATTATGTTTGTGTGCTTAATGTGTTGTATACAACGAGTGTATATATATACATTGCACCTTACTTTGGTCTCATAGGCCACATAAGTTATGTGAAAAAATAAAATAGTGAAAAAAACAACAAACCTTCAAATACAAGTAAACTAAAGTTTACCGGGTGAGCGGCAGTCGCCGCTGTTGCCATACGCGGCTCATTTTCTGCAAACTTCACGGCTCTATATCTCGGTAAGTACCGATGGCAAAAATTTTTTTTTTGGACTAAAACACTCAGAAAAATAATCTTAACATTTTCATAAGAAAAAATAATTTTTTTTTTTTTGAATATTTGGCGACATAGAATGACAGTTTCAGAGAGGGGCCTGAAACAGTCAAAGGGTTAAAATCCTATGATGCAGCCAAAGGCAAGCAGGAATATTTAAATGCCATACCTGCATACTCTTGCTGATGCATGACACTGAGTAACTCCTGTAAGGGCTATGATGTTGGCAACATTATTTGATTTCACTCCTGCTCCTGCCATGATCACAATGCGTCCCCTTGCTGCTGTTACTAGTGAAGCCAAAACATCACTTCCTTCTAAGGCAGTTGCCTTTCCCCCACTGAAGCATGAAAAAGAGTAAAGATCACTGCTTTCTGACCGGCAAATCTCAAGTAAAATTAGGTTTATGTGAAGATGTACATTACTACATTTGCAAATGTTTTTACAATGTAACAAAAGTGATTTAGTAAGTAATGCCTGGCATATAAGGATTGTGAGTTTTACAGTGTGATTGGAGCATCAAATATGAAGTACAGTTATGTAGAATGATTCAGAGAACCGACAAGTTGATAAATTAGACATATGAGCAACACTTGGGTATCTTTAATGAGGAAACGTTTTGCTACACAGTGGCTTCATCAGTCCATACTAAGGAAAATGGTGAAGAACAGGAGTAGTTTGAGATAATCATAATGAGTCGATGTAGTCAGTCCATCAATCTTGAAAAGTATATACAGTGGACCCTCAGTTAACGACATTAATCCGATCCAGAGAGCTTGTCTTTAACCAATTCTGTCGTTATCCAAATTAGTTTCCCCCATAAGAAATAGTGGAAATCCAATTAATCTGTTCCAGACACCCAAAAGTATTAAACAAAATGATTTTTTTACATGAAATATACATTTCCCTACACAGAAAATAATGAGACATGCAGAATAAACAATATTAAAATGACACTTGCCTTTATTGAAGACTTATTAACGAGTGATGAAATGGGAGGAGGGGAGAGGATGGAGTTGTACTATTGTTTGGAAGGGGAATCCCCTTCCATAAAGACTTCAGGTACCAAGTCCTTTTCTGGGGTTACTTCCCTTCTTTGTTGTTTAATGCCACTGGGACCAGTTTGAGAATCACTACACGCCTGTGGCACTAAATATCTGTCCAGAGAGCTCTGTTTCTGGCATCTCTTTAACCCTTTCAGGGTTTCCGACATACTAGTACGGCTTACGCACCAGGGTTGACATACTAGTACGCCTAAATTCTAGTGTTTCAAATCTAGCAAGAGAAAGCTGGTATTCCTACATATGAAAGAATTGGTCTATGTGGTCAGTGTGCACTGTATAAAAAAAATCCTGCAGCACAGTGTGTAATGAGAAAAAAAAAACTTTGACCGTGGTTTTGGTTTAAAACAGCGACTTTGCACTGTATCTTTATATGGTACATATTTATGGTTGTATTCTAGTTTTCCTGATCGAATTTTATAGAATGGAAGACATATTACAGAAATTGAGACGATTTTGACTGGTTTCACAATGAAAAGTACCTTGAAATTGAGCTCAAAGTAGCAGAAATGTTTGATTATTGCCAAAGTTCAAAAGTAAACAAATCATGCCATGCGTCCAATACACATCAACTGGTGAGTCTAATATTCTTTCACAAGTGCGCTGATATTATTTATACCATTTCTACACTAATGCAGTAGTCTGCATAACAGTAAATCTTCTATTTTTTGTAAGAATAAAAATTCAAAGTGGAAAGCAAAAGAAATGTAAGAGGGGCCTGGGGATGTGACTAACGAACAGAGGAAATGTTATTTTAGTGCCAGGAATGTGTCTTGTTTATTCTGGACCCTATTTGGAAATTGGCATCTTTTGAAATTTGTGTGAAATTGGCAAAATTGCTAATTTCTGACCACTTTATTGGATAGTTGAAATCGGTAAATGGGTGGTTTCTTGTACTCATTCGACAGAAAAAATGGAGTTCTAGCAAAATAGTTATGATTTTTGTCGACTAGTACACTGCAATTATGCTAACTTCGCGAGCGCATAATTCCGCAAGTTTTCCATCAAATTTCATACTTTTGGTGTCATTATGATCGGGAAAAGATTCTCTATCTTTTCATAAGAGAAAACAATTTTTTTTTATTTTTGAAATTTTGGCGACCCTGAGAACAAGTCTCTGAGAGGGCCTGGCAACCCCCAAAGGGTTAAGGAGCTAGGCAAAAGACTCATCAGGGTAACTAGGGATCCAAGGACAGCAAGTTTTTTATTCCAGAGGGGTACGATAAGATTTTGTTAGGAGTTTTAACCCCAGAGGGTTAGCCATTCAGGATAACCCAAGAAAGGCAGTGCGTCATCGAGGCACTGTCTATCTTATTTCCATAGGGGTCTTAAATCTTGTCCCAGGATGTGACCCACACCAGTTGACTAACACCCAGGTACCAACTTGCTTGCTAGGTAAAGAAACGCACTCAATGTTTACACCCTTGCCAGGGATCGAACCACAGACACTGTATGTGAAGCGAGAGATTGCCTACTAGACCACAGGACACACCGGTAAGGCCTTCTGTATTGTGGGTACATGCCCCAGCTCTGAGGAGCTGGATGAGATTTTTGCACTGTAATCTGTGACAAACGCATAGCAATATGTACCTGAAATGTATCCCTCAAAGCTCATCGTTATGTCGTTTTCCCTTTTTACTTTGACGGTACAGTTCTCACTACATGCTCTGGAGTGGGGGTAGCTTAACTCTTTCAGGGTTGGTGCCATACTAGTACGGCTTGCACGCCAGGGTTGGTGCCGTACTAGTATGCATAAATTCTAGCGCCTTCAAATCTAGCGAGAGAAAGCTGGTAGGCCTACGTATGAAAGAATAAGTCTGGAGTACCTGGAGAGAGTTCCGGGGGTCAATGCCCCCACGGCCCGGTCTGTGACCAGGCCTTCTGGTGGATCAGAGCCTGACCAACCAGGCTGTTACTGCTGGCTGCACGCAATCCAATGTACGAGCCACAGCCCGGCTGGTCAGGTACCGACTTTAGGTGCTTGTCCACTGCCAGCTTGAAGACTGCCAGGGGTCTATTGGAAATCCCCCTTATGTATGCTGGGAGGCAGTTGAACAGTCTCGGGCCCCTGGCACTTACTGTATTGTCTCTTTAACGTGCTAGTGACACCCCTGCTTTTCATTGGGGGGATGTTGCATCGTCTGCCAAGTCTTTTGCTTTCGTTGTGAGTGATTTTCGTGTGCAAGTTCGGTACTAGTCCCTCTAGGATTTTCCAGGTGTAAATGTATAATCATGTATCTCTCCCGCCTGCGTTCCAGGGAATACGGGTTCAGGAACTTCAAGCGCTCCCAGTAATTGAGGTGTTTTATCTCCGTTATGCACGCCATGAAGGTTCTGTGTACATTTTCTAGGTCAGCAATTTCACCTGCCTTGAAAGGTGCTGTTAGTGTGCAGCAATATTCTAGCATAGATAGAACAAGCGACCTGAAGAGTGTCATCATGGGCTTGGCATCCCTAGTTTTGAAGGTTCTCATTATCCATCCTTTCATTTTTCTAGCAGGTGCAATTGATACAATGTTATGGTCCTTGAAGGTGAGATCCTCCGACATGATCACTCCCAGGTCTTTGACGTTGGTTTTTCGCTCTATTTTGTGGCCCGAATTTGTTTTGTATTCTGATGAAGTTTTATTTTCCTTGTGTTTACCATATCGGAGTAATTAAAATTTCTCATCGTTGAACTTCATATTGTTTTCTGCAGCCCATTGAAAGATTTGGTTGATGTCCGCCTGGAGCCTTGCAGTGTCTGCAATGGAAGACACTGTCATGCAGATTCGGGTGTCATCTGCAAAGGAAGACATGGTGCTGTGGCTGACGTCCTTGTGTATGTCAGATATGAGGATGAGAAACAAGATGGGAGCGAGTACTGTGCCTTGTGGAACAGAGCTTTTCACCATAATCGCCTCGGACTTTACTCTGTTGACTACTACTCTTTATGTTCTGTTTGTGAGGAAATTATAGATCCATCTACCAACTTTTCCTGTTATTCCTTTAGCACGCATTTTGTGTACTATTATGCCATGGTCACACTTGTTGAAGGCTTTTGCAAAGTCTGTATATACACTATTACATCTGCATTCTTTTTGTCTTCTAGTGCACCTAGGACCTTGTCGTAGTGATCAAATAGTTGAGACAGACATGAGCGACCTGCTCTAAACCCATGTTGCCCTGGGTTGTGTAATTGACGAGTTTCTAGATGGGTGGCGATCTTGCTTCTTAGGACCCTTTCAGAGATTTTTATGATATGGGATGTTAGTGCTATTGGTCTGTAGTTCTTTGCTATTGCTTTACTGCCCCCTTTGTGGAGTGGGGCTATGTCTGTTGTTTTTAGTAACTGTGGGACGACCCCCGTGTCCATGGTCCCTCTCCATAGGATGGTAAAAGCTCGTGATAGGGGCTTCTTGCAGTTCTTGATGAACACTGAGTTCCATGAGTCTGGCCCTGGGGCAGAGTGCATGGGCATGACATTTATCGCCTGTTCAAAGTCATTTGGCGTTAGGATAACATCAGATAGGCTGTGGCTCTCTCATAAAAAATTAATTTTTATCTTCGACTCTCAGTCTGGTTAGCGGCTTGCTAAAAACTGAGTCATATTGGGACTTGAGTAGCTCACTCATTTCCTTGCTGTCATCTGTGTAGGATCCATCTCGTTTAAGTAGGGGCCCAATACTGGACGTTGTTTTCGACTTTGATTTGGCATAGGAAACGAAATACTTTGGGTTTCTTTCGATTTCATTTATGGCTTTTAGTTCTTCCCGCGATTCCTGACTCCTATAAGATTCCTTTAGCTTAAGTTCGATGTTTGCCATTTCTCTGACCAGTGACTCCCTTCGCATTTCAGATATATTGGCCTCTTTTAGCCGCTCTGTTGTTCTTTTTCGTCGCCTGTAAAGGGAGCACCTGTCTCTTTCTATTTTACATCTATTCCTCCTTTTTCTTGAAGGAATAAGCCTTGAGCATACATCGAGTGCCACCGAGTTAATCTGTTCTAGGCATAAGTTGGGGTCTGTGTTGCTTAGTCTATCTTCCCAGCTTATATCGGTTAGGACTTGGTTTACTTGGTCCCACTTTATGTTCTTGTTATTGAAGTTGAATTTGGTGAAGGCTCCCTCGTGACTAATCTCATTATGTTGGTCTGGGGCTCCGCGCATACATGTCTGAACCTCGATTATGTTGTGATCTGAGTACAGTGGAACCTTAAAAATCGAACGTACCAAATATCAAACGTTTCGAAAATAAGACCATTTTTTCGGACAAACTGTGTACCAAAAATCGAACGCGT